CTCTTTTTCATTTGGTTTCCCTGAGCCTAAACTATAGGTCCACATATTAACAGCTCAAAATTCAGCTAGAGAAGCCCTTTTTATGCTCAGTCTAATGCACTGTGTTATAAAGGTTTTAAAACTCAGTACCAACTCAAGCTCTTTTTATTCTGGGAGCCCATCTTGACATCTAAGCTGGAAATGAATGATCTTTCAACAACACTCCAGGGATTTTGCTAAGGTCATATTCAATCATTCATTAGGCTTCTTACCCGTTGCTTTTCAGAGTTCCATTGTAGAGCTGGTTTTATTCAGCATTTATGTAGCCTGTGGGCTTGGGTATTTGTCTGCTTAATGTTGAGTTTCATTTCTATGCTCCTAACATAGGAATTCATCAATTGACTAAAGAATTTCAAACTATTCTTCCACTTTTCTAACAAATTGCATGGTGTGTATGAAGAATAAATTAGCATTAATTTTCTTCCATTAAATGTGTTAATAAAACATGCTCTTGCACACCCCCTCCATCTAAGGACATCTCTGTTTCCTGCCTAGCCAAAAGAAATGATAAAGAATTTTCTCATTTTTGTCCACTGTGCAATTGTCTTTAAACTTAGTATGCACCTCACTTGCCACAATCACACTCTAGATCACAGCAGAGCTTTTCCAGTAAAACATACCGGACAAGACTGCTTTCAGAGCCCATCCACGCCCGCCTACAATTAGCTGAAGAGGTTACTACTGTGGAACACAAGACACTTGGTCCCTTGCTTTCAAAGCAGAGGGTTTTCTCTGCAGCATAGAGACTCTAGCTCAGAGAGGCAAAACCAGGAAATCAAATCAAAGTTCCCTCTCTTGGAGACAAACTGATTGTTCCATTTGTACATTTTCTTAATGTAGGCAGGCCCCAGAGAGACAGACACACACATATACAAATAACAATCTGTAAAATAAAATTAAAAAAACACAGTCATAACATTAAGCAGACATATTTAATTTCTTTGTATACTTGCTTAAGAAAAATTATTTCAAGGCTATACAAAAACTCAATTACTAATGTAGGATCCTTAAAAAAAAAAATAAGGTTTCTACTATACCCTAGATGAATAGGAATTGAGGTCAACACGCAGTACTCGATTACAGTGTAACAGGAATATAAAAAATAGTAAGCCAAAGCATATTATTCGCTCAGAATAAACAAGATTGCATGCCCATCACAAATGAAGAAAGGCAAGTTCTTTGCTGCTGTAATTAGGGGTGGAGAATGCAAGACAGTTTGTACATATTTTAAAAATGGCTTTAGTCAAGCTGCCAAGAGCAGTGTCAGGTTTGACTCTCATATACATAAATTGCAATCCCGAAAAGTAACTCTTAACTGTGCACCTGGCTTAAAACAAAATGTTCTGAACACTTTCTATTTATTAATTGGTAGAGCCCACCCAATCAGGCCTCAACTCCCTTTGGACTTGCAGGCGCACTTCCTACACACAGAAGTGGCCTGTTATGCAGCAATAACATCATGGTGAAAAGGAACAATTCTGCACTGGCTCCACAGAGAAATCTCGTTTGCATTTCAAACAAGTTTCCTCAAAATAAATGTCTTTTGATTAAATAAAATGACAATTCCAACTACTTATCCACAGAAAACATCAGTTCCTACATAACTCACTACTCCTTTTTGTAACTGTGTAATTATGCTGTTACATATTTGCACGATTTTTGAAATACTAAACAGAAATGATGGACTTATAGCTTACTTCATTAAGTTAGAGACATTTAATGACCTGTTTTTGTTTCTGTCAGCCTGCTATTCTTTGAAAATATTAGTTTGTTAGACATTTTTGGATCTTCCATTGGTTGTTAATTCAATCCTTAAGAAGCTAACATAGTAGTATTAAAATTATAAGAAGAATGACAATTCCCTTTTACTAGCTCCATATTTCAAAAGAGAAAAAGAATGAATAAAAATAAAAGAAACACGTCCCATGTAGTGTTCTTTCAACAAAAACTCACTCCAATTTTCTGTCAAACTCAATGCCCCAATATACTCATACAAAAAGCATATTTTATTAGACTGATGCTTTAAGATAACATATTGGGCTAGGGATGTGGTTGAGCCCCTGGCCATTCCCATGTGACTAAATATATTTAAAAACTTGAAAATCAAATAATATATATCTAACTACTCAAAAAAAAAAATTTTTTTTTTGCCAGTCCTAGGGCTTGCACTCAGGGTCTGAGTATTGTGCCTGAGCTACTTCTGCTCAAAGCTAACACTCTACCACTTGAGCCACAGCACCATTTCTGGCCTTTTCTGAGTCCTTTATTGGAGATGAGAATCTCATAGACTTTCCTGCCCATACTAGCTTCAAACTGTGATCCTCAGATATCAGCCTTCTAAGTAGCTAGGATTACAGGCGTGAGGCACCAGCACCCAGCTCACTCAAAATTGCAAGAGTATTTATCTACTATTATATTTGATACCAAATGTGAAAAAATTCAGCAAAGACCAGATTGCCTTAATAAATTATAAAATTATATGATTCTTTTTTTTTTGGTTGGTCTTGGGGCTTGAACTCCGCCTGGGTGCTGTCTCTGCGCTCATCAGCTCAAGGTGAGCACTCTACCTCTTGAATCACAGCGCCACTTCCGGTTTTCTAGTGATTTATTGGAGATAAGAGTCTCATGGACTTTCCTGCCCGGGCTGGCTTTGAACCATGATCCTCAGATCTCAGCCTCCTGAGTAGCTAGGATTACAGGAGTGAGCCACCTGCACCCAGCTCACTCAAAATTCCAAGAGTATTTATCTACTATTATATTTGATACCAAATGTGAAAAAATTCAGCAAAGACCAGATTACCTTAATAAATTATAAAATTATATGATTCTATAGTTTAAGATACCATGTCTCAAATATGAGACCCTGAGTTTAAATTATGTAAATAGGGCTGGGATGTAGCTCAGTGGCAAAGCATTTGCCTAACAAGGGCAATGTCCTGGGTTTGATCTCCACTACTAAAAAAGAAAAGACAAAAAAAAATTTTAAAAATCTAAACAAACTATGTAAATAAAGAATAGAAATAAATCCTATGTCTCATAAAACTAACAATTTTTGCATTTAAACTGTCTACATTTTAAAGCAATTCCTCCCCTCCCCTTTTTTTTGGCCAGTCCTGGGCTTGAATGAACTCAGGGCCTGGGCACTATCCCTGAGCTTCTTTTGCTCAATGCTAGCACTCTACCACCTGAACCACCTTCCCAGCCCAATTCCTCACTTTTTATACATTACAAGTTTTTCTCGGGCTGGGAAGGTGGCTCAGTGGTAAGAGCGCTTGCCTTGCATGCATGAGGCCCTGGGTTCAATTCCTCAGCACCATATAAGCAGAAAAAGTTAGAAGTGGCACTGTGGCTCAAGTGGTAGAGTGATGGCCTTGAGCTGAAGAGCTGAGAGACAGCACCCAGGCCCATAGTTCAGGCCCATGACCAACAACAACAACAAAAAAAAGGTTTTCTTGGCTGGGAATGTGGCTTAGTAGAATGATCACCTAGCATGCATGAAGCCCTGGGTTCGATTCCACAGTATTACATAATGGAAAAAGCCAGAAATGTCACACTGTGCCTCAGGTGGTAGAGTGCTAGCCTTGAGCAAAAGAAGCTCAGGAATAGCACTGAAGCCTGAGTTCAAGCCCCGGCAAAAAATAATAAAAAGATTTTCTAAACTTGTTATTTTTGTTCAAAATGCACAGAAATGTCTTTAGCTGCCTTGTACAAGACAAGTGGTAGCCTTAACAGTTAGGATTGATCTAAAAGAATCAACCCACACCACCCTCAGAAAAGAAAAAAGGAATGTAATGCTAGACTTATTCAGTACTGGAGGACACTCACTAAATAAACAAAATTTTGTTTTGTAATCTAGTAAGCCCACAAAGCTGAAAACCATCAATAGTTACATAACTTTTTAAAAACTTGAATAATGATCAAAATACAAATACTCTCAAAACAGTACTTCAAGTACAAAGTAGCACTAAGTATAAATATAGTTTATATTTCAAAGCAATATATAAATATTCTCTCCAGCTACATGAGCCCCTAACCAGAATATCCATCTTTGTATCTTTGAGGGCTTATATAACTAACACCCTCTTACAGTTCTTGGTAGAAGATAAGCAGGGAGATGGGAAAATACACTGAAGGATAGCATTAGACTCAGCTGCCTGACTAATACAGATTAGCACTGTAAGCCATTAGTGATCAACACTAACAAGAGCTTGCAGAGCCCCTGAAGTAAGTGCCTAACTTCACTAATTGAAGACCACTAACTATATAGTAGATTCAGTTGCCCCAGTGTCCTATAAAAGTACAGATTCGGCACCTGGGAGGCAGACAAGGCTAGAAAAAACAGCACTGGATATTTTGACCTTGTAGAAATAAGTTTACTTCTCTCGGTTTCAGTTTTCTTATACGTAGAAACAAAAGTACTCAATGAGAAGGATTGAATGACTTAATAAGCTAACACAGCTCATAAGGCAAGCGAGCATATAACAATATCCCTTAGTTCTCTTTTCGCCTTCTGCCCATTTAACCCTATGGGTAGAAGACCATCAACTGTAAAATACAGTCAATATTTCTTGATCAATTGATCAACTTCCCTAATTTTGTTTAATTATACACATGAAAACTAGGGAACTTTGTCCAGGTGGGGTTTTTTGTTTGGCTTAAACCCAGAGCTTCAGCTTTTTTGCTCACGACTATTGTTCTACCACACATCCACTTTTGACTTTTAGCTGGTTAATTGTAGGCAAGCATCTCTCAGATTTGTCTGCTTTGACTGGCTCCAAACTGCAACTCTCAGATACCAGCCTTTGAGCCTCTGATGCACAAATAATCATTTTAAAAGTAACCACCTCTCAACTCAAAATACTATTTCTTATTACATTTCACAGTCCAGCAAAATACTAAGAAAGTTGTTTTGATTATTCTGGCCCAGGAATAGTTTGATCAAATCTTCATAAACAGCCACATACTATTCAATTTTAATCAAGGCACGAAAATTAAGAATACATGCTTTTTGTAAATTTGTTTACTACTTTAAAGCTTTTAACTGGTCAGCAATTACAGGACATTATACTAAGCTAAAAATAAAAATATCTGCATCTCAAATACAAAAGAATATACATAATTAATCTTGGTCAGTCTTTAAATGCCAGTCATTCACATGCTCATGATTTTTTTTACGTCATTTCTTTTTCCATTATAGGTATTCCAACATGTATATCCTGCATACTTACTAAGCATTTATTTCAACTTGTATTTTCTGTGACAGGATATTTTGTTGTGTCGCTTCTTTTAAAAAGATATCTGAATTTGTCCAAGGAAGTCTCAAGTTTTTTGTAAAACTAATGATGTTACACTGTTTCCAGATCTACCTCCAAAGCTGAAAGTGGGTGTTGGCAGCTCTTCAAAAAGTTCAAATCCTGTTAGGAAAAAAATTAAAATATGCTTATTAGGGATTGAATCCCAGTAATGGTAAGTCTTATTAACTCTGTACTCTGAAAACTATGTTTTCAAACTCTAAATGACTGAACTTCATGTTGGAATTTTCCAACTCACCCCAAATACACTGAAATGAACAAAGGTCTACAGTACCAAAAACAAATTGCAGAAAGAGGTTTTTCCTCTATCAGTATACAAGGAAGAGCTACAATGTGTGCTGTTCTTATGATGTACCACACCATGAACTTACAGAAGAGTAAAAAGTTCTTCAGATGAATGGTACTCATGGTTACCCAGCATTGTGAAAGTACAGATTAAAGTGTTTAACAGTAAAATCTTTTTTTTCTATTTTTTTTTTTTTTTTTGGTCTGTCGTGGGGCTTGAACTCTGGGCCTGGGTGCTGTCCCTTAGCTCTTCAGCTCAAGGGGAGCACTCTACCACTTGAGCCACAGCGCCACTTCCTGTTTTCTGGTAGTTAAGTGGAGATTAGAGTCTCACAGACTTTCCTGCCTGGGCTGGCTTTGAACTGCGATTCTCAGATCTCAGTCTCCTAAGTAGCTAGGATGACAGGCATGAGCCACTGGTGCCCAGTTCAACAGTAAAATCTTAGGGTTATATTACACTCTTTTAGAAAAAAATGCATAACAATTGATCCAGCTACAAACTCAACTATCAAATATCTTGGGGAAAAAAGAAGTAACTTTCAAAGCAGTATAGCGTGGTTTTGTTTTTTAATTTTTTTTGGTGCCAGTCCTGGGGCTTGGGTGCTGTCCTTGTCCTTGGGCTTGTTTGTTCAAGGTAATAATACTTTATCACTTGAGCCACAGCTCCAGTTGCAGCTTTTTTTTTTTTTTGGGGGGGGGGTGCTTATTTGGAATCTTACAGACTTTCCTGCCTGAGCTGGTTTCAAACCCCAATCCTCAGAATTGGGTCTCCTGCATAGCTAGGATTACAGGCATGAGCCACCAGCGCCCGGCTCAATTGGACTTTTATACTTTGTTTCATCATACATTCTAATTCACATTATCAAACTTAACCAAATTTTAATAACTAAATGTTAAAATTCTTATTAAGAACTGATAAGCCAACCAAGCAATGGTGGCTCACACTTGTAATCCTAGCTTCTCAGGAGACTGAGATGTGAGAATCATGGTTCAAAGCCAGCCTGGGCATGGAAGTCCATGAAAAAAAACCACTTCTGGTCTTTTCTGAGTAGTTTATTGGAGATAAGTCTCACAAACTTTCTGCCTGAGCTGGCTTCAAACTATGATCCTCAGATCTCAGCCTTCTGAGTAGCGTGAGCCACCAGCACTCGGCTCCATGAAACTCTTCAGTTATCCACCAGAAAACTAGAAGTGGAGCCATGGCTCAAAGTGGTAGTGTACTAGCCTTGACCCAAAGATCTCAGGAACAGCACTCAGGCCAAAAAAAAAAAAAAAAAAGAGAGAATCCTGTAATACTAACACTCAGGAGGCCTCTGAGCAGGACTGTTAGTTTGAGGCCAGTCTAGGTTACATAATATCAAAGGAAAACTTTTCCAAAGTAGAAGTCTTTAAATAGCATGCTATAGTATTTTTAATATGAGATATATTTTATATGACATATTGGGTACTATATACATATATATAACCATACACACATACTTTTTTTTTTTTTTGGTCCAGTTGTGGGGCCTGAACTCTGGGCCTGGGCACTGTCCCTCAGCTCTTCAGCTCAAGACTAGCTCTCTACCACTTGAGCCACAGCACCACTTCCAGCTTTTTTCTTTTTGCTTATGTGGTGCTGAGGAATCGAACCCAGGGCCTCATGCACGCAAGGCAAGCACTCTACCACTGAGCCACCTTCCTAGCCCCACACATACTTTTTTTTGAGAAAGGGTCTCACTAGGTAGGTCACACTAGCCTTGAAACTCACATGTACTGCCCTGCCACAGCCCCGTGACTGCTGCAACAACAAACTTGTACAATTGTGCCACCACACTCAGTCTAAATGGCATGATGTATTTCACTCACAGCTGGTGCTCCATCCCTTGAGCCACACCTCCAGTCTAAAAATATTTAGGCAGTTTTTTTCTGCCAGGGCTTGAACTCAGGACCTCAAATTCTGACTCATCTTCTTTGCTCATGGCTAGTGCTCTACCATTTGAGTCACACCTGCAATCCAGCGTGATATATTTTAATGTGGGAAAATCCAGCTCTGCTATGTGTTGAATACATGAGGTACAGACTCATATTTGGTTTGCAAAATATTACATATGCTTAAAGTAAAAATGTTTTCTAGAACAATGACATTTGTTGAAATTGTTTTAAGGAAGGAACAATAAGAGATGAAAGTGAATGTGATAGACATTGCATGTATGGAAATGTCACAATTAAATTAAACCCCTCGTACATGGGGCTGGGAAGGTGGCTCAGTGATAGAGTGCTCGCTTGTATCCCTGGGTTCGATTCCTCGTCACCACATAAGCAGAAAAAGCCAGAAGTGTCACTCTGGCTTGAGTGGTAGAGCACTAGCCTTGAGCTGAAGAGCTGAGGGACAGGGCCCAGGCCCAGAGTTCAGGCCCCATGACCGGCAAAAAGACACGTACACACACACACAAAAAAAAAAAAAAAAAAACCTCGTACAATTAATATATGCTAACAAAAATCCTTTTAATTAAAATTTCCAAGGAAAAATAGAGCTGTATTAATTTTCCAGGGCCTTCTTTAACTCCCCAAACCTAGCCCTAAAGAAATTATATGTTTCAGAATATAACACAACAAAATCTGAACTGGCAGGTATACTGAAGTGATGAGTATCAGGGTTTCTTTTGCAGTACAATAGGTTTAATTCAAGGCTGGGAAGGTGGCTCAGTGGTAGAGCACTTGCCTTGCATGCATGAGGCCCTGGGTTCGATTCTTCAGCACCACATAAGCAGAGAAAAAAAAAAAGCCGGACGTGGCGCTGTGGATCAAGTGGTAGAGAGCTAGCCTTGAGCTGAAGAGCTGAGGGACAGCACCCAGGCCCAGAGTTCAGGCCCCACGACTGGACCCAAAAAAATTAGTTTTAATTCAGTAGTTATAATAGAATCAAGTCCCTCAACATCAGATTCAAATACCCTAATATTTGACAACTGACCCACATTAGCTTCACTGAAGGAACTAACAACACAATGTGTTTACACTGCATGGACAGGGCTATCCAAAGATCAAAAGGAATACAAGGTACTTTTCTTCTTTGAGTATTGGGTTTTGAACTCAGAGCTTTGTGTTTGCTAGGCAGGCACTATACCACCTGAGCCATGCCTCTCCAGTAAAGATTTCAATAGTTCTATAAATATTTACATTTCAACTAAGTCAATTAAGGAAAAGCAGAAACCCTTAAAGGACCAGTGAGGGAAGCCTCACTCCAGGCCAACATCTAAATAGCTGGTAATGAAGCCCTTGGGCCCTGCCTACAAGGTACTCTGCTAACTGTCCTACAACTACAAACACCATTTTCTAGGAGACTTATGCTTGAAAAATGTCTCCAATGGTGTAATTATTCCTGAAGATTTCCTGCTATAACATTTTGCTTGTTTAAATCTCTAGTTCTAAAACAGCATATAGAGAGTTTACTCAATAGTTCTCAGACACAACATATTTTAACCACACTATACTAAGCTAAAGTCTGTTCCTCATTATCAAGGACAGACAAATATGTTTTTGTCTGCTAGTTCCAGGGGTAAAAGAGAACACCTGTATTTAAAAACCAAGAAAGAAATTTGCCCAACACAGTGTGGCTCTGAGCATTTATTAAAACTGCTAAGCTCCAGGAAGAGGGAAAGATTATAGATATGGAGCCTCAACAGTTCTGAAGGAAACAAACTAAACAAACATGGAAGATAATAAAACTAATGGCATAAAAACACAATAAATCATGGACAATTCTTGTTTTCCAGGGAGAATGGTAATGAATTACAACCTCACATTCCCAGCATCAAACAGGTCATGTTCTACATTATAAAACCTTAGCAAGCCATTGAATGCACATAAAAGGAAATGTGTTTAAGTGTTCTTCCTGCCCAGTCCCTTAATACCAAGAAGAAAACAAAACTTGTGATAAAGTGTATGCACTATGGTCATAAATAAAAGTTAGTAGTAAACTACTCTCTTGAGGTAATTGATTTCCCATTAGCTTGTGACAAGTGAGGTTCAAAATTTAATCAAATATTTAGTACCATATTACTTACTGTATCCTGAAAATTATTCCCATTGCTATTTTTAAAAAATGCTAACCTCAAAAGGAATACATAAAAGTTCTCAAAATATTTCCCCAGAAATGCCTGTGCACTGTATAAATAAACGGACACAGATAAAATATTTCTTAAAACAACTTGCCTGAGTACTACTGGCTCACACCTGTAATCCTAGCTACTCAAGAGGCTGAGATTTAAGAACTGTGATTCAAAGCCAGTCCTATCACCAATGAAAAGTCGCAAGTGGAAATGTGGCTCAAGGGGAGCACCAACGTTAAGCAAAAAAGCTGAGACTACCCTGGCCGAGTTCAAGCCCCAGTACAAGCACAACAGGAGTGCACATGTGTGCACGTGCACGCGCACACGCACGCACACACACGCGCACACACACGCACACACGCACACACACACACACACACACACACACACACACACCTTGACAAGAAACAGTCTGCAATAGAATTCAAAGTGGGGGCTAGGAAGGTGGCTCAGTGGTAGAATGCTTGCTTTGCATGCATGAGGCCTTGGGTTCGATTCCTTAGCACCACATAAGCAGGAAAAGCCAGAAGTGATGCTATGGCTCGAGTGGTAGAGCACTAACCTTGAGCTGAAGAGGTGAGGGACAGTGCCCAGGCCTAGACAGAGTTCAGGCACCATGACTGACCCAAAAAAAAAAAAAAAAGAACTCAAAGTGGTCTATGTATAGATTATAGATTTACATTCTTTATAAGATCCCAACTAGTAGATCTAGCAATAGTTACATTTGCCATGTCATCAAAACTGTGAAAAAAACAGAAAATATTTCCTCAAGAATTAGTAAATTGCAGGGAGCTGCTGGCTCATGCCTCAACAGCTTCTCAGGAAGCTGTGATCTAGAATTGTGGTTCAAAAGGTCCAAGTCCTGAGTTCAAGCCTCAGTACCAGCACCAAAATATATATATATATATATATACATATATATATATATATACCTATATATATATTTTAAAAAAGCATTAGTACAAAGAATTTCTACCAATTCCCCACATTTTGTTTCTATTCAATCTTAGAAATAATTATACCAGATACACTAATGACATAACAAACTCAACCAGGCGCTGATGGCTCACGCCTGTAATCCTAGCTACTCAGGAGGCTGAGATCTGAAGATCAAGGTTCAAAGCCAGCCCAGGCAGGAAAGTCCATGAGACACTTATCTCCAGTAAACCACTCAGAAACCACAAGTGGTGCTGTGGCTCAAGTCACAAAGTGCTCACCTTGAGCTGAAGAGCTGAGGGAGAGTACCCAGGCCCAGAGTTCAAGCTGCATGACAGACAGACAGACAGAGAGAAAGAAAGAAAGAAAGAAAGAAAGAGAAAAAGAAATAAAGAGAGAGAGAGGGAGGGAGGGAGGGAGGGAGGGAGGGAAGGAAGGAAGGAAGGAAGCAAGCAAGGAAGGAAGGAAGCAAAGCAAGGAAGGAAGGAAGGAGGAAGAAAGCAAGGAAGGAAGGAAGGAAGGAAAGAAAAGAAGCAATAAACAAATTCTAACATCTTAATGACCACTAGAACAAGACATATGAATTATCTAGAAAATTAAAACTCTCATCACATCAAACCCCAGCATTGCAAAAGCAAAGAAAAAGCCATCTCATGTAAGATTTTTTTAAATTCCATTTGCATTATTACAGATTTGCCAGAAAATCAGTACAGTGAAGTCAAAAGCACAATACATATGCTTTTTGACTCTCTAAATAGATTGTACAGCTTAAATAAAATATTGTATTGCTTAAAGAACTTGATTTTTATAGGCCCATAAATTTTAGTACTTAACTGCCAAAATTTCTGGAAAAAAAAAATGTTTAAAGGCCTCTGGATCTCAACCAAAGTTATTTCTCTGCGCTTTGCATATATAGTTAAAAGTTATTACCTAGATCATTAACAAGAAAGAAAAGCAGGCAATTCCCACAAATAGCAATATAGAACACAGGGGAAAACAACTATTTAAAAGTAAGAAACTTGCCGGGCGCTGGTGGCTCACGCCTGTAATCCTAGCTACTCAGGAGGCTGAGATCTGAGGATCGCGGTTCAAAGCCAGCCCGGGCAGGAGAGACTGTGAGACTCCTATCTCCAATAAACCACCAGAAAACCGGAAGTGGCGCTGTAGCTCAAGTGGTAGAGCGCTCGCCTTGAGCTGAAGAGCTGAGGGACAGCGCCCAGGCCCAGAGTTCAAGCCCCACGACCAACAAAAAAAAAAAAAAAAAAAAAAAGTAAGAAGCTTAAGGTAAGTATACATTTAAACACCATGTAGCTAGCCACTTACCTTCACAGAATTCATCCAGCAATTCTTCCTTGGTCCAATTACAAGAGGTTATTAGAAAGAAGCCTTTTACTTTCAAAACCCCAGAGAGAGATTTCACATACTGCTTCCTCTTCTCAGCTGCACTGTCAGGATTAAGGCTTATGGCATCAAAAGTCCCTTTGTCAATACAAATATGAAATCCAGATAGTTTTGTGGAAAGATTCAAAAAGTCTTCTACCTATATTAAAAAAACCATATCTATGTTAGATCAATTAACACAATAGAACTTAAGTTACAAGGGATAAAAGGCTATATGGATAGTGACCTATAGCTGGTCACTGGTGGCTCATGCCTGAAATCCCAGCTACTCAGGAAGCTGAGATCGGAGAACTGAGGTACAAAGTCAGCCTGGGCAGGAAAGTCCTTGAGACACATATTTCCAATTATATCAAAAAGTAGGAAGAGGAGATGTGGTTCAAATGGTAGAGCACTAGCCTTGAGGGAAAAAGCTAAAGGACAGCGCCAAACACTGAGTTTAAGCCCCATTACAAGCATTTTATAAAGGGGCATGAGGACTACTGATTATGATGGCATCTTACATATAATAAACGTATTTTCAACTTTATAGCTAACTTTTATGAGCTTCATTCCAAGATCATTAAAGCCAAGATTAGTAAGAGGGGTTGACAAGTGTTTCCTGGACGTTATAAATCTCAACATATTTGGAAACAAACCACTGCAAGGAATACTGCCCAAAAATGCCAACACATTATGGCACAAGTGTTTCTCCCAAAAAGTAAAATATTTGACATATTTACCAACATGACAAAAATTATCTGGAACTCAGATCAATGAAATTAAGACTTCAAGCTCATATTCTTACTTATATAACCTAAAGAAACCATAGACCATCACAAAGCTCTTCTGTTTTGACTGGACACTTACAAAGCCACTAATGAACAGAATGAAGCTTAGAAAATCAAATGAATACTTACGTGTGATCACTCAGCCTGGTAAAAATCATGTACTTTAGAGACTTCTATTCATATAACTTCATCCTATTTTCAGTAACCTAATACAATTTAAGTATGTCAAACAGTGTGCTGCCTCAGTTTGTTTGTTTGTTTGTTTGTTTATTGCCAATCCCGGGGCTTGAATTCAGGGTCTGGGCACTGTCCCTGAGCTTCTTTTGCTCAAGGCTAGCACTTTACCACTTGAGCCACAATACCACTTTTGGCTTTTTCTGTGTATGTGGTAATGAGGAATGGAACCCAGGGCTACATGCATGCTAGGTAAGCACTCTACCACTAAGCCACATTTCCAGTCCCTGCTTCAATTTTATACAATATGTGCAAGTTACTTGGTCTGTATCACTCATTCACAGCAAAAGAAAACTAAGGCATAAAAAAATCAGGAAAACTGACAGTCACCAGTAGCTCACACCGTTAATCCTAGCTACTCAGGAGACAGATCTCAGAATCACAGTTCAAAACCAGCTGGGCAGAAAAGTCTGTGACATTCTTATCTCCAACTAGTTACCAAAAAGCTGGAATTGGAACTATGGCTCAAGTGACAGAGTGCTATCCATGAGCAAAAGAAGCTCAGGGACAGTGCCCAGGCCCTGAGTTCAAGCCCCAAGACAGGCAAAAAAAAAAAAAAGAAAGACATCAGCATTTAATATACTTTCGAAAAAGTTAAAACTTTATAACTTTCATTATAAATAAAATTATCTCCAGGTGCCAGTAGCTCATGCCTATATTCCTAGCTACTCATAAGGCTGAGATCCAAAGATCACAGTTTGAAGCCAGTTGGGGCAGGAAAGCCCATGAGACTATCTCCAACTAAGCACCAAAAAAAGCCAGAAATGGAGCTGTGGTGCAACTGGGAGAGCACTAACCTTGAGCAAAAAAGCTCAGGAATAATGCCCAATCCCTGAGTTCAAACGCCAGGAACAGCACTCAAATGAATGAGCAAATAAATAATTAAAAGTAATATATAGGGCTGGGAAGGTGGCTCAGTGATAGAGCGCTTGCCTTGCATGCCTGAGGCCCTGGGTTCAATTCCTCAGCACCACATAAGCAAAAAGAAAAAAGCCGGAAGTGGTGCTGTGGCTCAAGTGGTAGAGTGCTAGCCTTGAGCTGAAGAGCTGAGGGACAGTGCCCAGGCCCGAAGTTCAGGCCCCACTACCGGACCCCCAAAAAATAAAAAAAATAAAAATAAATAAATAAATAAAAGTAATATATAGTTACCTTCAATTTAATGTTAGGTAACCCTTCTTTCTCTATAATACTTCTAGAAAGCTGAATTGCAGAAGGAGAGTAATCAATTCCAGTAATATTACAGAAACCAAGTTTTGCCTAGAAACAGAGAAATAATTTTATATTTTAGTTTGAAAGTTTTAATATAATGTTTACACTAGTACAATATTCCATTACTACAAGTTTTTTTTTAATTTTGTCAAGGATCAAATGACATAATATCCAGTTATGCACAATGTTTAAATTTTATTAAAAATATTAATAAGAGCCAAAAGTTAAACTTTATATGACAATTCAATTGCTTCCATAATATTTGATTTCTTTTTCAAAAGGAAATTCACTTTCCCAAATATTACAATATGTATGAAGCAGCCCTAAGGCAAAAACTGAATGCTAATTTCTGATGCTAATATACCTCAATTCACACATAAATTTAACATAAATTTTATCTAATTAAGTTATACAAATAAATGGAATGCATTAAATGCATATGCGCTAAGTGGTTAATTTTAAACTTTCCCTTCAGTGTAATTATATCCCATACATCCCATAGGTTTGGCCACACTGTGAGGTTCTAAGATCCTCAAGGAGTTTCAACCCTAAGTAATGGAATCCTAAGTTAAACTTTAGGAACATAAATATAAGTTATTTTCCCCAAAGGGCACTTGCTGATTTCAGTCTGTTTTTTTTGTTGTTGTTTTTTGGTTTTGGGTTTTTTGGGTTTTTGGGTTTTTTTTTGTCGGTTGTGGGGCTTGAACTCTGGACCTGGGCGCTATCCCTCAACTCTTCAGCTCAAGGCGAGAGCTCTACCACTTGAGCTACAGTGCCACTTCCGGTTTTCTAGTGGTTTACTGGAGATAGGAGTCTCACAGTCTTTCCTGCCCGGGCTGGCTTTGAATCGAGATCCTCAGATCTCAGCCTCTTGAGTAGCTAGGATTACAGGCATGAGCCACCAGCGCCCAGCTTCAGTCTGGTTTTTGAGAGAAGGTCTGACTATCCAGCCCAGGCTGGCCTCGAACTCACAATCTTCAGCCTTAGAAGACCTCAGCCTCCTGAATGGTAGAATTATAAGCATGCACTACCATGCCTAGCTTCATTTTTATTTTTACCTAGAAGCTAATATTCTCCTTTTCTAACACAAATTTCCTATCCTTTTAGCTCTCCATGTCTTCTACTCTGAGATTTTTTTTTTTTTTTGTCAGTCATGGGGCTTGAACTCTGGGCCTGGGCACTGTCCCTGAGCTCTTCACCTCAAGAATAGCACTCACTCTACACTTAAGTCACAGAGCCATTTCCAGTTTTCTGGTGGTTTATTGGAGGTAAGAGTCTCATAGACTTTCCTGCCCAGGCTAGCTCTGAACTGTGATAGTCAGATCTCAGCCACCTGAGCAGTTAGGATTACAGGCACCCCGTGAGATTTTCTTTTTTAAAGACAGTACTTGGGTTTGAACTAAGAGCTTCATGCTGTGTTTGGCTAGTGAGCACTCTATCATTTAAAGCCTTGCCTCCATTCTTGTTTCTCACTGGTTATTATTAAGATAGGGTCTAACTTCTCATTTGTACTTCCCATCCTTACTAGGATCACAGGTACTCACTACCATTTACAGCTTCTCTTAGTAGAGATGCAGTTGCACAGACTTTCATATCCAGGTTGGTCTGGAACCAAAAACCTCCCTATCTTAGCTTCAAATTATATTCAAGTTTTTTCTATTCAATCTCTGGCACCACATGAAAACTAGGTATTTAAGAGGAGAAAAAAAATGATCAAAAACCAAGAGAAGAAGCTGACATTAGAAACAGATCCCCAAAAAGAATGATTAGAAACAGATTTAAAACAACTGAAATTATGACCAATTGCAGGAATCTGGCTCAGTTGTAAACTTTAACAATGAAGCAAACAATAATAGAACTGGAAAATGCAATAATAAAATTTAAAAGGTTGGCTGGGCACTGGTGGCTCATGCGTTATAATCCAGCTACTCGGGAAGCTGAAATTTGAGAATTGAGGTTCAAAACTAGCTAGGCAGAAAAGTCCATGAGATTCTTTTTTTTTTTTTTTTTTTTTTAATTTTGTCAGTCATGGGGCATGAACTCTGGGCCTGGGCACTGTCCCTCAGCTCTTCAGCTCAAGGCTAGCACTTGACCATCTGAGCCACAGCGCCACTTCTGGCTTTTTTTGCTTATGTAGTACTAAGGAATCAAACCCAGGGTCTCGTGCATGCAAGGTAAGCACTCTACCACTGAGCCACCTTCCCAGCCCAAGTCCATGAGATTCTTATCTTCAATTAGCCAGTAAGAAGCTAGAAGTAGAGATGTGGCTCAATTGGCAGAGCACCAGCCTTGAACAAAAAAGCCAAGCAAGATGGGCACTGGTGGTTCATGTCTATAATCCTACCTACTCAGGAGGCTGTGATCTGAGGATCTGTACAGTTCCAAGCCAGCCCAGGCAGTAAAGACCTCTGACCTCCAATTAACCAACAGAAAACTAGAAGTAGAGCTGTGGCTCAAAGTGGTAGAGCTCTAGCCTTGAGCAAAAGAGCTCAATGGAAAGTGCCGAGGCCCTGAGTTCAATCCCTATAACCAACCACACAAAAACAACAAAAAAGTCAAGCCAGAATATGATAGTATGAGAGTGTGAATTCAAACACCAGTATTATCACACAAATAACTAATTAATTAAAAGCTCAAGGCAAAGCTTGATAAATTAGACAAAACTATTTTTTTTTAATAAAAGTCAGAGGCCAAGTATGGTGCTATATATCTGATATTCTAGAACCTGGGGCAGCAGAGGCCAGAGGATTTTGAATTTGAGGTCACTTTGGGGGGAAAAGATGAGACTGCCTCAAAAACAAACAAGAACCAAAAAAAATTAAAAAGTAAAAGTCAGGTGCTGGTAGCTCAGGACTGGAATACTATCTACTCAGGAAGTTGACACTTGAAGGATCAAAATTCAAAGCTAGCCTGGAGAGAAAAGGCTATAAGACTCCATCTCCAATTAACCAGCAAAACGCCAGGCTGGGGACATGGCTTAAGTTCTAGAAGCCAACTATAAGCAAGAAAACCAAATAACAATAAGGTCCGAAGTTCAAACCCCAGCATACCTACACACACACACACACACACACACACACACACACACACACACACACACACACACACACACACTACACACCAAGTTAATATAACGAAAATGTACTAAATATAAGCAAAGATTGAGGATTATTTACATAACAGAAAGGGAGACAGCCAAACACTACATGTTATATATGAAAATGAACACTACCACCAAGTTTGTCTAGCCCCCAAAAAAGTGAACTTAAAATCTCTAAATCAAGAAGCAGCAAACTGTTCCCATAAAGAAACAATGAATACTTAAGGTTTTGCCAGCCATATGGTCTGTATTACAACTACTTAGCTCCACCATAGCAGCACTTAAGCAACCATAGACATTATGTAAACAAGAGGACATGGCTATGTTCCATAAATATTTACTGGAGTCCAGATTTGAGTCGTATATCATAGTTTGCTGAACTACATTCTAGTTCTAACTTCCTACTTACAGACAATCTAAGAGTCAGAAAACATTAAATTAAAACATTAAATTATACTATAAAAGTGAATCTAGAAAGTCACCAATGTAGGAGCTGGGAAGGTGGCTCAGTGGTAGAGTGCTTGCCTTGCACACATGAGGTCCTGGATTTGATTCCTCAGCACCACATAAGCAGAAAAAGCCGGAAATGGAGCTGTGGTTCAAGTGGTAGAATGGTAGCCTTGAGCTGAAGAGCTGAGCAACAGTGCCCAGGCCGAGTTCAAGCCCCATGACCAACCAAAAAAAAATTTTTTAATAATAAATAGCATGAATCTTAAAACATTTTCAAAACATAGAAGTCTATGTAACAACACCAGCATAACCTGACACCAAAATCTGACAAGTACAAGAAAGAAAAACTCACAGCTAAACTGAATCTAGTAGATCTGTTTCAAGAATACACTCAATACCAGGCACCAGTGGCTTACTCCTGTAATCCTAGCTACTCGAAAGGCTGCGAGATGGAAGTTCCAGGCCAGCCCAGGCAGAAAAGTCCACAAGACTCCATCTTCAAAATAACCAGAAAATAGCTGGACTGGAGGTGTGACTCAGGTGGCATGCTGACAGTTGAGTAATTGAAAGCCACTCTGAGGCAGAGTTCAACCCCAGAACAACTGCTCCCCCCCCCCACCCCGCATCTCCCCAACCCCACACTCCCCCCCCCCCCACCCCTGGCCCAAAAAAAAAAAAAAGTGAAATAAAGTGTTCTCTGAAAAAAGGGAAAACAGACAAGAATGCCTTCTATCATCACTTTTTTTTTTTTTTTTTGCCAGTCTGGGCCTGGGCGCTGTCCCAGCACTTTACCATTTGAGCCACAGGGCCACTTCCAGCTTTTTCTACTTATGTGGTGCTGAGGAATCAAACCCAAGACCTTATGCTTTCAAGACAAGCACTACCACTGAGCCACCTTCCCAGCTCCCATCACCTCTTTTTGACATTACACTGACAGTCCCAGTCAGGGTAATAAGGACAAAAGAGTAAAAAAGTTATAATATGGGAAGGGATAGAAAGAGGAAACAAAGGAGGAGGCAACAATGCTTGGTAAGAAATGTACTCATTGGAGCTGGGAGCCTTGCATGCATGAGGCCCTGGGTTCAATTCCTCAGCACCACATAAGCAGGAAAAAAAAATGTACTCATTATCTTGCCCATGTAATTGTAACTCCTCTGTATGGTATTTTCATAATAAAAACTTCTTTAAAAAGTTATAAAAGATTGAAAAAGAATTAAAACTACCATCAACCATAGAACACACAACACAGATGCACAAAAGCTAAAAGAATCCATAAACTTTTAGTCTCAAAAGTTGAACTATTAGCTTCTACAAATAAGCTACGAAAGCCCAAAAGAAGACTGAAGGTAGAGCTGAGTGGTAAAGTGCTTGCTTGGGATGTTTTAAGACCCTGAGTTCTAATCCCAACACCATAAAAAAATAAAACCCAGAAGAATCTTCGCAGCTACCTTTAATTCTCAACTCTGTCCATGCCCCACACATGCTTTAGCTTCCAGTTTGCCTAATTGTTTACAGATCCAGGACAGCATACAGTGCTTCTGTCTGCACATATTTAGACAGTTTTCATTACCTGAGACACTCCCTCTTTATACCCCACCCACACTTACCACATACTTATCCACCCAACATGGATATTAACTCCTCAAAGTCCCTTCCCTCCCTCTTTTTCACATCTGATCCTTCCATTAGGCACCAGTAGCTCACACCTGTAATCCTAGCTACATACAACACTGAGATTTAAGGATCATGGTTTGACACCAGCCAATGCAGACAAATCTAAGACTCATATCCAATTCACCAGAAAAAAGCTGGAAGTGGACTGGGAATGTGGCTTAGTGGTAGGTTCAATTACTCAGTACCACATACACAGAAAGGCCGGAAGTGGTACTGTGGCTCAAAGTGGTAGAATGCTAGCCTTGAGCAAAACCAGCTCAGGAACAGTGCCCAGTCCCTGAGTTCAAGCCCCAGGACTGGCAAAAAAAAAGCTGAAGTAAAGGCATGGCTCAAGTGGTAGAGCACCAGCTGTGTACCAAACCCTAGTAGGAGCACATATACACATATGCATACGCATCTCTCTCTCTCTCTCTCTCTCTCACACACTCACACTCACACACACACACACACACACACTTACTCTGTATATCCATTATATTCATCAAGTTGCAGTGAAACTGTCTACATGTCAACCCATCTTCCATTACACTGTGAATAATTCAAGTGATACCTAAACTTTCATGTTTCCAGTGACCAGCACACGACTTATTTAGCGTATGATAGTCACTCAATACATTTCACTCTTATATGTATGTTAGTCAAACCATCTAGGATGAAGCTTATATTGTATATTTCATCTAGAATGAGTCTATATTATATATCTCCATAGAAATGAGCACACTAAAGGACAGATCCATGGACAAAATCTCTTTTTTCTTTTTTTCTTTTTTTTTGTTGGTTGTGGGGCTTGAACTCTGGGCATGGGCGCTGTCCTTGAGCTCTTCAGTTCAAGACCAAGCACTCTACCACTTGAGCCTCAGAGCTACTTCTGGTTTTCTGGGGATTAATTGAAGGTAAGAGTCCCATGGAGGGTGGCTCAGTGGTAGAGCGCTTGCCTTGCAATGTATGAGGCCCTGGGTTCGATTCCTCAGCACCACATAAGAAAAAAGAAAAAAGCTGGAAGTGGCGCTGTGGCTCAAGTGTAGAGCGCTAGCTTGAGCTGAAGAGCTGAGGGACAGCGTCCAGCCCCAGAGTTCAGGCCCCACAACCGGATCCAAAAAAAAGAATCCCATGGAGCTGGGTGCCAGTGGCTCATGCCTGTAAATGCCTGTAATCCTAGCTACTCAGGAGGCTGAGATCTGAGGATCACAGTTCAAAGCCAGTCTGGGCAAGTCAGGTTCAAAGTCAGTCTGGGCAAGAAAGTCTGTGAAACTCTTCTCTCCAATAAAACACCAGAAAACTAGCAGTGGCACTGTAGCTCAAGTGGTAGAGCACTAGCCTTGAACTGAAGAGCTGAGGGACAGCGCTCAGCCCCAGAGTTCAAGCCCCATGACCGACCAAAAAAAAAAAAAGAGTTTCATGGACTTTCCTGCCCAGGGTGGCTTTGAACTGCTATCCTCAGATCTGTTTCCTGAGTAGCTTGGATTACAGATGTGAGCCACCAGTGCCCAGGCAAAATGCTCTTTTCATACCATATATTTACCTGAGATAAGGTACATGAGCCCTACTTACAACTGTCTATATACATTATATATATAATACATTTATATATACATATGTGCGCACACGTACGCATACATACACACACACACACACATATACATTTCTAGAGTTTTCAGATAGAAGAAACCAATAGAAATTACACACACACACATCCCATATACATTTCTAGAGTTTTCAGATAGAAGAAACCACTAGAAATTATCTAGCCAGAACCCTTGGGAAAAAGTGAAGCCCAGAAAAAAAAATAAGTTGCTTACTCAAGGTTAAGACCAAAGCCAGAAAAAACAATAAGACTCAGATTCCCTTGGCTTCTCATTTAGAGTTTGAACCATAATCTCCAAAGATGTAATCCCAACACAACACTCTTTTTTTTTTTTTTTTTGTCGGTTGTGGGGCTTGAACTCTGGGCCTGGGCGCTGTCCCTCAGCTCTTCAGCTCAAGGCGAGCGCTCTACCACTTGAGCTACAGCGCCACTTCCGGTTTTCTGGCGGTTTATTGGAGCTAGGAGTCTCACGGTGTCTCCTGCCCGGGCTGGCTTTGAACCGCGGTCCTCAGATCTCAGCCTCCTGAATAGCTAGGATTACAGGCGTGAGCCACCAGCGCCCGGCTCAACACAACACTCTTGAATGCTGAAACTCAAAAAGATCAAAATCTCTAAAGAATAAAATCTTGAGAGAACAAAATCTCAAAAAGTAATTTTTAGAAATAATTTAGCTGAGCGCCAGTGACTCACATCTGTAATCCTAGCTACTCACTCAGGAGGCTGAGATCTGAGGATCGTGTTTCAAAGCCAACCCGGGCAGGAAAAGTCTGTGAGGACTCTTATCTCCAATAAACCACTAGAAAACCAGAAGTGGCACTGTGGCTCAAGCGGTACAGCGCTTGCCTTGAGCTGAAGAGCTGAGGGACAGCGCCCAAGCTCAGAGTTCAAGCCCCAGGACCAACCAAAAAAAAAAAAAAAACAACAATTATGAGCAGAGTACTCAGCCTTTGGGCAAGGGAACAATTTCACGTATTTCTTCCATGGCCATATAAGGAATACATACATAAAGGAATATTCTGGGGCTGGAAAGGTGGTTTAATGGTAGAGTACCTGCCTAGCATGCATGAGGCCCTGGGTTAGATCCGTCAGCCCCATATAAACAGAAAAAGCCGGAAGTGGCACTGTGGCTCAAGTGGTACAATGCTAGCCTTGAGCTTTTAAAGAGCTCAAGAGCTCAAGGGACAGCACCCAGGCCAGAGTTTAAGCCCTACAACCAATAACAATTTCTGTATATATGAAACTTGTGTTAGTCTATCTTCCAGAAACAAAACCAAGAAGATATATATAAAGATAGATATATAAGACTAGTTGAGGAAATTGGGTCACATATCCAGGGTAACTAAGAAGCTGGACAACAAGTTGTCTACACACTGGAGACCTCAGGATGCTAGTATACTAGCTCAGACCAAACCCACAGACCTCAGAACCAGTGAACTAATAGCATGATTCTCAATCCAAGGCTGAAAGTCTGAGGACCTATGGGCCAGAAGTGTAAGACTGGAGTCCAACTACCAGAATTCAGATGTCTACTCAGAAGAAAACTGCCTTAGACCAAGCATAGTGGCGTACACCTATAATTCCAGCACTTGGGAAAAGGACAGGAGGATTGAGTTGAAAGTCAACCGGGGCCATATACTAAGTTCCAGGCCAGCCTAGGCCACACAGCAAGACCCTATCTATGAAAGTAATGGAGGGAAGGGAAGGGGAAAGGGAAGAGGGGAGAGAAAGAAAACTCTGACCCAGACTTCAGAAAGAGATCAATTTCCCTTTGCAATTTGTTTTCTGTAAGCTCTCATCCTGCTAAATGGTGCCCGCCCATATTGAGGTGGATTTTTTTCCCACCTATTCTATCTAGACTCGACATTAATCTCCTCTGGAAACAACCTTACAGACACTCAAAGTAATGCTAAATCACCAGTCTGTCTTCATTCCACTGAACATGATGCAACTAAAACATGCATACTAATCCCCAGAATTTAGTTTTCAACTCCATATATTCAGTTTTTTTTACCTACAAAAATTGCAGTTTTGCCGGGCGCTGGTGGCTCACGCCTGTAATCCTAGCTACTCAGGAGGCTGAGATCTGAGGATCCAGGTTCAAAGCCAGCCCAGGCAGGAGAGACTGTGAGACTCCTATCTCCAATAAACCACCAGAAAACCAGAAGTGGCGCTGTAGCTCAAGTGGTAGAGCACTCGCCTTGAGCTGAAGAGCTGAGGGACAGCGCCCAGGCCCAGAGTTCAAGCCCCACGACTGACAAAAAAAAAAAAAAAATGCAGTTTTCAGGATTTGGAGTTAAAAGATTTTTAAAATTCAGGATTTGCTTTTAGGGATTTTACAACTAAGGATTTTTCACTTCTAGGATCTCAATAGTCAGGATTTTACCCTTCAAGATTATGAATGGCAGCATGCATTCCTTACAATTCATTCAGCCTCACTTTTGTATCACAACTACTCAAAGTAAGTGATATAACTGCTTTACTACTTTAGAATTAGATGTTTAATACCCTGCATTGAAAAACTTTTAAAACTTTCACTCTAAAACTTGGCTCAAACATGTGAATACTAAAAGTACCAACAAGTTCAACCAGGAAAACACCATTTCCAGTTCCGATATCAAGTACTGAAGCATCCAATGGGATCTTGTGCTTCTGTATCCACCTTATTAGTCGATTTATACTCTCTTCCCCAAACCTGTCAGAAACAGAATTAGTTAAAAATGACAGATATAGAGCAAAAGTTATAACTACATTCCACTTTAGCTGTTTATAATATATGCCCAATTAAGTCTTTGTGACTGTTTAAGTTTTGCCTCTATTATCATTTAGGCAAAAGCACCTCCAAATATAGAACAAAACAGCTAAGTGTGTTATTTGCCAATATTTCTGAATATCACCATTAACTTTTGAAAATTTCAGCATTAATTTTTGAAACGTTCATGTTGTCCTGAACATTAGTACATCCTGATGATTCAAAATTTTACTTCCATGCCAGGCGCTGGGGGCTCACACCTGCAATCCTAGCTACTCAGGAGGCTGAGATCTGAGGATCACATTTCAAAGCCAGCCAGGGCAGGAAAGTCCATGAGACTCTCATCTCCAATAAATCATCAGAGTCGGCACTGTGGCTCAAGTGGTAGAGCACTCTCCTTGAGCTGAAGAGCCCAGGCCCAAAGTTCAAGCCCTACGACCAGGGGAAAAAAATGTTATTGCCTACTGAAAAATGGTAATAGAAAAAGGTAATTTTGGGGCTGGGAAGGTAGCTCGGTGGTAGAGTGCTTGCCTTGCATGCATAAGGCCCTGGGTTCCATTCCTCAGCACCACATAAGCAGAAAAAGCCGTTAAGTGGCACTGTGGCTCAAATGGAAGAGTGCTAGCCTTGAGCTGAAGAGCTGAGGGACAGCACCCAGGCCCTGAGTTCAGGTCCTGTGACCAGCAAAAGAAAAAAGAAAAAAAAAGGTAATTTCCTAAAATTCTGATCAAATGAAATCTGGGTCATTAAAGAGCTGGGAACTGGTGGCTCATGATTATAATCCTAGCTACTCAGGAGGCTTAGAGCTGAGGCTCATGGGTTGAAGCCAGCCCAGACAGGAAAGCCCATGAGAATCTTATCTCCAAGAAAGAGAAAAAGGGAGGGGGGTGTGGAGAGGGAGGTAGAGAGAGACTTTAAATCTAATCTACCCAGTTAAGCTACACTCAGCACAGAGTTCCCAAGTCTTAGGTAGGCTTACTTTGGTATAAATGCAAATACTTCTTGCTCACATACTCTCCCTTTCCTCCCTCCCCACCTCATATATATGCACACATACATATCTCTAACTTACCAGATTTCTCCTCTATCTCCATATTCTTGGAACATTTGAAGTTCTTTCTCATAGACAGCATCCCAACTATGTAAAAAATGGAAAAGCAAAGCAAGATTCTAGAATTTAACTGAATCTAAGGGATGTTTCCAATACATTACAGAGCTATTTAAAACATTCTTAATGTTACCAATAAGTACATAAAGGTCAATCTCTTAATATCCTTGGGTAAAAAGAATAAAGAGTAAGTTTTTGCATGCAAAATACCTAGATTATATGATACATTAAAAAAATGCTACATAGGGGCTGGGAAGATGGCTCAGTGGTAGAGCGCTTGCCTTGCATGCCTGAGGCCCTGGATTCAATTCCTCAGCACCACATAAGCAAAAAGAAAAAAGCTGGAAGTGGCACTGTGGATCAAGTGGTAGAGCGCTAGCCTTGAGCTGAAGAGCTGAGGGACAGCGCCCAGACCCAGAGTTCAGGCCCCACAACCGGACCCAAAAAAAAAAAAGCTACATAAATGTTAGCTTTAAAAGAACACAAAGAGACAACTGTCCAAGGATCTCTAAGTCCCAAAGCCCAGTTCAAAACCTGTTTGTAAACCAGGTGTCAGTGGCTTACACTTGTAAGCCTATCTATTCAGGAGTCTGAGATCTGAGCATCATGGTTCGAAGCCAGCCCAGGCAGGAAAAGTCCATAACATTCATCTTCGATTATAACCATTAAAAAGCCAGAAGTGGAATTAATGCTCAAATGGTAGTCTAGTAACCAAGACAAGCACAAAAAAAAAAAAAAACTTCAATGATCTCTAGACGTCAACTTCAATTTATACTATACTCCTAAAGCATTTCTGTTCTTAAAATATTACAAAGAGCCAGGTGCCAGTAGCTCACACCTGTAATCCTAACTAGCTACTCAGGAAGCTGAGATCTGAGGATCACAGTTGGAAGCCAGCTCCTGGTAGGAAAGTCCATGAGACTCTTATCTTCAATAAACCACCAGAAAACCAGAAATGGAGTCATGCCTCAAAGTGGTAGAGGGCTAGCCTTGAGTGAAAGAGCTCAGGGACAGAGCTCAGGCCCTGAGTTCAAGCCCCATGACCAAGGGGAAAAAAATTACAAAGAAAAAGGAATGGAGATATTTAAGCTGTACATTGGTCTAATTAAAATGTGAGTTGAGAAGTGGCGCTGTAGCTCAAGTGGTAGAATGCTAGCCTTGAGATGAAGAGCTGAAGGACAGCACACAGGCCCAGAGTTCAAGCCCCATGACCGATTAAAAAAAAAAAAAGTGAGTTGAAGCCTCAGCACCAGCACAAAAATAGGTAAATAAATGAGTAACAAACTTGACTGTACAAGCACAAAGTAGTTAAGTCTTCATTGGCTCTTTTTTTTTGTCGGCCGTGGGGCTTGAACTCTGGGCCTGGGCGCTGTCCCTCAGCTCTTCAGCTCAAGGCGAGCGCTCTACCATTGAGCTACAGCGCCACTTCCGGTTTTCTGGTGGTTATTGGAGATAGGAGTCTCACGGTCTCTCCTGCCCGGGCTGGCTTTTAACCGAGATCCTCAGATCTCAACCTCCTGAGTAGTTAGGATTACAGGCGTGAGCCACCAACGCCCGGCTTTCATTGGCTCTTATGTGAAGACAAAGTAGTTTTGTTTTTTTTTTTGGCCGGTTGTGGGGGCCTGAACTCTGGGCCTGGGCGCTGTCCCTCAGCTCTTCAGCTCAAGGCTAGCACTCTACCACTTGAGCCATAGTGCCACTTCCGGCTTTTTCTGCTTATGTGGTGCTGAGGAATCGAACCCAGGGCCTCAGGCATGCAAGGCAAGCGCTCTACCACTGAGCCCGAGACCACCAAAGATAAAACTGACTTGAAGCATAAACTCTGATGGTACACAGCTATAATCCAGATACTCAGGGGCAGAAGGCAAAGAGGACAGCTAGTTGGAGTCAGCCTGGCAAAGTTAATGAGACAGTATCTCAAAAACCAACAGTAAAAGCCCCTACTTAGCACAAGGCCCTGTTCAATCCCCTTTACAGCTAACAAACGAAAGAGTGTTTGCCTAGCAAGCAAAAGGCCCCGGGGTCCAATCCCCAGTATCTGGGGGGAGGGAGGGATGAGCGGGTAAAAACAGACTTGAGTGCCAAACACAATGCTGTCTCTCTGCCTCCTCCAGTATTCTAGCCCTCTGCTTCAGTTTCCTCCTGATGATGTTCGTCTCCCCGCCGTCATCTGCTTTCCTAGTTCCTCTTTCTAGAACCCTCTTCCTGTCACCCCTCCAAAACATCCCGGTCCTTCTCCCCACTCATGTATCCAAGTCTAATTTATTTCCGAGAGTAATGAATGTTTCGGGTCAGATCACTTGTTTTTTCACTCCCATACGCCCCCATCGTCCGCCCCAGGTCGCCCCCAGGCCGCAGCTTTCCCAGTTCCCGGACCCCAAAGCTCTCCCTCGGCCTCCCACCGTAGCCCCGACTCGTATCCGCGAGCTCGGCCGCTCTCCCATTCCCCAGCCGGGTCAGGTTCAAGACCCACACACGCAAGGCCTCCCACGAGCTTAGGAGCCCAGCCCTCACCCCCCCCCCCCCGGGAAGCCGGTTACCGGGTGGCTCCAGCGGTTCCTCCCGCGCACCCCGCACTGACCCCGCAGCGGCCCCCGGCCTTCCTCCCGCCACGCCCCCAGTCTCGGGCCCAGGCCCGGGCCGCCCTCCCGGTGCGCTCCCCCGCGCCACACTCACTGCTCCCGGGTCCCCAGCGCCGATGGGACGAAGCCACCCTCGACGGGGCTGTCCCGTCGGGACCTCGCGGCGGCCACAACGCCGCCGCCGTCCGCGCCCGCGCTCATCTCGCTCGGCGCTCTGAGGGACCGCGGGGGCCGCCATAGAGACGGGGCGGGGCTAGAGCGGACTGCGGGCCGGGCTCCTCTAGGCGTCGGGAGGCCCCTCTCCACTGCTCCAGGCTGAGCTCGAGCCCCGGCCGGCTGCGGGCTGGAACCCGCGGTGGGGATGTCCTCCGGTGCGGTGCGGGGTCGGCCTCCCGCCCCGCGCCAACGTCAAGGTCTCTGACTCGCCTCCGCACGATCCTGTCTGGGGACTGCGGTTGTTAAGTGACAGTCCACAGTATCGCATGTCAGAAAACAGATGGTCTAAGCCAAGGCCGCCGGCACACAACGCGGAGGTCCTCACCTGTGCGCTCTACCTGGCGGGCAGATCAGCTTAGATGGACAGCCCGTGGCAGGACTGACCCAGAAAAACGCATCTGAGCACTTCTGATTTGACATAGCACCACAGACGGAGGAGCCTATCTACGTTCAGGAAAATGAAACCCTGTCAACACACGTGTACACGCACACACAGCGTACCTTAGCCTTAGAAATCAGTATGTTGTGACAGAAAGACTGACACAGTGACAGGATAGCTGGGTGGTGTCTGCAGCTGACATTTGCCCCTTGGTCTGACTTTGGTAGTTCTACAGCACGATGCAAGACATCTTAGGAGCCAAGAGTCTGAGGTACTTTTTTTTTTTTTTGGGGGGGGGGGTGAGGGTGCCAGTCGTGGGGCTTGAACTCAGGGCCTGAGTTTCTTTTGCTCAAGGCTAGTACCCTACCTTTTAAGCCAAAGCACCACTTCTGGCTTTTTCTTTTCTTTTTTCTTTTTCTTTCTTTCTTTTTTTTTTTTTTTTTTTTTGCAGTCCTGGGGTTCAAACTCTGGACTTGGAGATTGTCTGAGCTCCTTTTTACTCAAGTCTAACACTCTACCACTTGAACCACAGTGCCACTTTCGGCTTTTTCTGTGATGAATTGGAGGTAGGTCTCACAGACTTTTTTTCCTGGCTGGCTTCAAACACTATTCTTCAGATCTCAGCCTCTTGAGTAGCTAAGATTACAGGCATGATCCACCCACACCCAGCTTTAGGGTATTTTCTATAGTAGCAATGAAGTATTTGTGATCCAATGTCCTAGGCAAGGATCTTACATGTACCTAGTATGGCTGCCTCCCAATCAACAGTTGTTTCCTAGGCTTCATTTCTGTTGACTACACACAGAAGCCCAATTACAAGTCTCTAGAGGACATCAGCACCAACAGTTGCCTTCCAGCTCACAGAAATCCTGATTAGAACCGAATGTACATCTCCTCCTATACATGGTGTTCCAAGACCGTCAGGAAACCACTGGTGATAGAATAAAGTAAAAGGCAGATGGAAATCCATGTGCATAGTGATTAAAGAACTCAAGAAAGAGCGTAAGTAACTTTATTACAGAGCAATAAAACTACCGGATACCACAGCCAATTAGTGCTGCCCTAGATGAATGGTTGTTTTGATCTTCTCTAGATGGTAGAGAAAGAAAGCTTGAATGTGACTGAGTGGGTCTTAAAAAACTTTTAGGTTCTAATTAAAAAGCACCCATGAAAGGTACGCCCATCTTTGCCTGGTGTTGTGCCAGCACTTAAGAGGTTTTTGCTGTGTGTGATGAAAGCTATAAACAATTATTGGTATGGAGCCTTGGAAAAAACCATGGTTTATACAGAGTTCCTTGCCTGGCTCCAGGCATGATTACTCTGCTTAGTTCTGAAGGCTGTGACCCACCACTTCAAATTACCCAGGGCAACAGATTCTTGGTAAGGAAAGGAGAAGCTCTTTGAAGCAAATTGCAGGGAAAAGCGGTGTATGCCCCAGAACACAGTTCCTCCTAACCAGTTCATTTACAATGAGGCAGGAGGGAAACTTACTGCACTGGAGCTTGCCTGTCACCTTAGTTTTCCAATCCCTGTAGATTGGCATCCTGTTGATCCACAACTGTTCTGAAAAGTATAATTTCAAGAGAGTTCTGAAGCACTTCTCAACTGGCAAATTCCAGGGTCAAATACATGGTTTTCCTTTTCTTGACTTTGCAGCAGTTAGCATCACTTTGGGGCTGGGTGTTGTCCCTTGGCTTTTTCACTCAAAGCTAATGCTCTACCACTTGAGCCACAGCTCCACTTCCAGCTTTTGGGTGGTTAATAGAAAATAAGAGCCTCATGGACCTTACCACCTAATCTAGCTTTGAACCACAATCCTCAGATCTCAATCTCCTAAGTGGCTAGGATTACAGTCATGAGCCATCAGTATCCAGCTTGTGGGTTCTAAATTAATCTACTGTCAGTTGTCCCTGACAACTTTCCTAAGTTCATTTATTGTACGTATAGAGTATAGAGAGCTTAGAATGGAGAATGAAAGGGTTCAGGAAATGTTAGCTACCATTTTTTTTGGGGGGGTCCGGTCATGAGACCTGAACTCTGGGCCTGGGCGCTGTCCCTCAGCTCTTCAGCTCAAGCCTAGCGCTCTACCACTTGAGCCCAGCACCACTTCCGGCTTTTTTCTTTTTGCTTATGTGGTGCTGAGGAATTGAACCCAGGGCCTCAGGCATGCAAGGCAAGCGCTCTACCACTGATTCAACTTCACAGCCCTTAGCTACTATTTTTATTACAGATTGACCATCCCTAATCCAAAAATTGCAAATCCAAATGCTCCAAAACCCTCAAACTAGTGCTCCTACAACTTCTACCTCTCAAATATCTGTGATTACAGGTTTGCACTAACATACTTGGCTTCTAGCATCTTTATTGAACAATACAGTACAGATATATTTGGAAATCTTTTCTTATCAATGCCTATGCATTCCTCATCTTTCAAAATACTTCATAACAATTGAAAGGACAGCTAATTATCACCAGGCCATCATCTGATGTGCTTAATACATTAGGAACTGTATTAAACACTTTCGACCTATTTTCTCAGTTACTCCTAAATACAGCCACAGGATATTTCAGATACCCAAACTACAGCACTGAAAGGTTGTCCAAGATCACTTCATAAGTGCTGGAGCTGAGAATGGAAATCAAGAAATCTTTAAGACCTACAAGTAACCACTACATGTAAGACGTGATCTATCAGCCAGGCGCTGGTGGCTCACGCCTGTAATCCTAGCTATGCAGGAGGCTGAGATCTAAGGATCTCGGTTCAAAGCCAGCCTGGGCAGGAGAGACTGTGAGACTCCTATCTCCAATAAACTACCAGAAAACCAGAAGTGGCACTGTATCTCAAGTGGTAGAGAGCTCGCCTTGAGCTGAAGAGCTGAGGGACAGCGCCCAGGCCCAGAGTTCAAGACCCATGACCGACAAAAAAAAAAAAAAAAAAAAAAAGACGTGATCTATCATTCTTCTTTTTTTTTTGTTGTTTTTTTCTTTTTTGGTACGGGGGATCGAACCCAGGACGTTGCACTTGCTAGGCAAGCGCTTTGCCACTGAGCTACATCCCAGCCCAGACGTGATCTATCATTACAATGTGTTGCTGAGGGTTTGCATGGGGAAGTCAGTTAAGAGCAATTATGACAGCATGAAACACACACTACTAAATCCTAAAAAATCCATCGTGTTTCTCTTTACCTGAAGTTTATAATCTCACTGCGGCTATTGCCCTCTCCCCATCCTCTTACTCCCTTCCTTCAAGGTTGCCAAAACATCTGCTCACTTTTTCTTCTTTATCTTCTGTGTCTCCAACTGTTTTTTGACTGGGTAGCCAAGATATTTCCTTATTACCAAGCTTACATGTTTGGTTTCTTGTTGGTCGTGGGGCTTGAACTCTGGGCTTGGGCACTGTCCCTGTGCTCTTCAGCTCAAGGTGAGCCCTCTACCTCTTGAGCCACAGCACCACTTCCGGTTTTCTAGTGGTTTATTGGAGATCAGAGTCTCACGGACTTTTCTGCTTGAGCTGGCTTTGAACTGTGATCCTCAGATATCAGCCTCCTGAGTAGCTAGGATTACAGGCATGAGCCACCGGCGCTCGGCTCCAAGCTTACATGTTTTATCCGTTTCTTCTGTCTCCATTCCCCTACAGCAACCTGTTGATGGACAATGCCATCTTCCCTGGGACTCTCCTACCTTTTCATACAACATTTGCTTCCCAACTATGTATTGGGCAATGTCTACACTCCTGGCATTTTTCCAGATGATGGAGATGCATTGGTAAGCAAATCAGACTTGCAAAAATTCCGGAAAAAAAGCCAATAGACAGGATAAATGAATAAAACAGAGATGATGCAGATGGTGACGGAGGGAAAGTAAAGCAGGGAAGTAATATTAAGAGTGTGGAGGAGGGTGGTAATTTTGGTTTGAGTGACCAAAGGTGGCACTAAATAAAAATCTGAGGTCGTCAAAAATTGTGTGCCAGACAAGCAGAGGCTGAGTCTGAGACTGGGATGAGCTTGGAGGACGCTGATTTAGGGAGTGCACTCAGGTGGACGTCTGCTGGGGAAGGAAAGGAGCAGCCACACCGTGGAGGAAGCGGCTGGACTGCAATTCCACCACCAGAGCTCCAGCCAACTTCCTCTCCACGGTCCTTGGCAAACGCTAGCTTGCTTTTTTTTTTTTTGTTTTTAAGTTTTAGCAATGACTTACTTTAGAATTACATGATGAAGTAGTAGGGAGAAATGGATAAAGGAGCGGCATTTCCTATCCTCCCCGCCTCCACACAAGACCTGGGACTCAAAACCTCCTAAGTGTGCGGCCTTTAACTCTAACCGTTCCGTTCCCCAAAGGGACAAGCTGGGGAGGATCAAGACGTGTAGAAAGAAGTTGTGGTCTCAGACTGTGCGGGGCAGTCCGAGGTCCGAAGCTGTGCGGGGAGGGACTGGGCGGTATGAAGCCCAGGGCTGTGCGGGCCCGGGATGGGAGGGAGAGGAGGGGAGCAGCGCCGCGGAGCGGACCCAGGCCCCTGCCCGCCCGGGGCTCTGGACACAGCCCCGCCTCCTTCCGTCCGCGGACTCCATTTCCCACAATGCCCGGCGGCGGGGCGGCCGGAAGGCCGTGCGTCCCGCGCGGGGCATGATGGGGGAGTTGGAG